ATCTTCCGTTCTCAAAAATTCTTGAGAAAGCGGTCGCAAAACAGTTGTGTGATTACTTAAAAAACAATGATTTATTTGAAGCTTTTCAGTCTGGCTTTAGAACACATCATAGCACAGAGACAGCTCTGGTTAAAGTCACAAATGACATTCTAATAGCCTCTGACAAGGGACGTGTCTCTATTCTTGTTTTGCTCGATCTCAGTGCTGCATTGATACTATCGACCATGATATCTTATTGCAAAGACTAGAGCACTTAGTTGGCATACAGGGAACTGCTTTAGACTGGTTTAGGTCCTATCTATCTGAACGCTCTCAGTTTGTACGTGTCAATGATGAATCTTCCACGCAAACCAAAGTTAGCCATGGAGTGCCACAGGGCTCAGTGCTCGGACCTATTTTGTTCACATTATATATGCTTCCGTTAGGCAATATTATAAGGAATCATTCTGTAAACTTTCATTGTTATGCGGATGATACTCAACTATATTTATCAATCAAGCCTGATGAAATTAATCATCTAAATAAAATTCAAGACTGCCTTAAGGACTTAAAAACGTGGATGACCTTAAACTTTTTGATGTTAAACACGACCAAAACTGAAGTTATTGTACTTGGCCCGAAGAATCTACGAAACAAATTATCTAAGGATATACTAACTATGGATGGCATTAATTTGGCCTCCAGTGAGACTGTAAGGAATCTTGGTGTTATATTTGATCAGGATTTATCCTTTAACGCCCACATACAATCAATTTCAAGGACCGCCTACTTCCATCTACGTAACATTGCAAAAATCAGGCATATCTTGCCTCAAAACGATGCAGAGAAACTAGTCCATGCATTTGTTACTTCAAGGCTGGATTATTGTAACTCTTTATTATCAGGGTGTACCAAGAAGTCAGTCAAGTCGCTTCAGCTGATTCAAAATGCTGCGGCTCGTGTACTAACCAGAGTTAGGAAAAGGGACCACATTACTCCTGTTCTGGCTGCCTTACACTGGCTCCCTATAGAACACAGGATAGAATTTAAAATTCTTCTTCTCGCCTACAAAGCCCTTAATGGGCAGGCGCCATCTTACCTTAAAGAACTCATTATACCCTACTGTCCTACTAGGGCATTGCGTTCCAAGAATGCAGGGTTGTTGGTTGTTCCTAGAGTCTCTAAAAGTACAATGGGAGCCAGAGCCTTTTCTTATCAAGCTCCACATTTGTGGAATCAGCTTCCAGTTTGTGTTCGGGCGGCAGACACCCTATCCGTTTTTAAGAGTGCGCTTAAGACCTTCCTTTTTGATAAAGCTTATAGTTAGGGCTGATTAGATTCAGCCCCTAGTTTTGCTGATATAGGCTTAGTTTGTCGGGGGACATCTTCCTTCTTCCTTCTCTCTGTCTATACCTGTGTACTCTCATGTTCCGATTAACCCAGCTTCCCCAAATGTCTTTCTTTTTGGTGACTATATACGCCGGGATCCGGAGTCACGGATGATCCTGCGCTCCTCTGTCCTGGATCGCGAGCCCTGGATCTTGAGTCGTGGCTGTGGTCCTGGATCATAGGTCCTGGATGGATATCCTCGTGGATTCATCTTCCTATTATACACACATGCATTTCCAAACATTTGGACTACCTATGTTGCAAATGTATTATCTTTTCAATTTACACACGGCATCTATTGCACGTCTGTCCGTCCTGGGAGAGGGATCCCTCCTCTGTTGCTCTCCCTGAGGTTTCTCCTATTTTTCCCTTTAAACTGTGGGTTTTCTTCGGAAGTTTTTCCTTGTACGATGTGAGGGTCTAAGGACAGAGGGTGTCGTATTGTCATACTGATATTTTGTACAAACTGTAAAGTCCACTGAGACAAATGTAACATTTGTGATATTGGGCTATATAAATAAACATTGATTGATTATTATACATCAATGTAGTCCGCATCATAAATACGTCGATAGTGTAAGTGCAGTCGGATTCTCAAAGCACTGCAGTCTCTTCTCCTAAATCCTTTTGAATTCTCCTATCCACTATTCATTAACCCTGAAAGGGTCTGTCGGCCATCATCGGTGTGACAAAGCTCTACCATCCCCCCTCTGTTATCAAGAGATAGTAGCCTATAGCCGCGTTCACACCAAGTACTTTGCCGTACTTAGTGCCGGCACTTATTACCCCAGGGCACTTAGTATAGATCGCGTTCACACCGGAATAAGTTCCCTGAGGGAAGTTTACGCAAATGAGCCGCTGACGTCACTTCGTCTACTTCTGCTTTGTGTTTACTGGCAGGCCACAAACAACTTCACGGCGTATACTGCCACCCAAAGTCCCCGGCCAGAAGTGTTAATCTGTGTGGTTCTTCTCGCGTCCAGGAGAGAAGCTTAAAAGGAGACTAAATGGAGTCTGGTGAAGTTTCAAAATTGGTACTTTAATTAAAAATAAAGGCGCGGTTATGTTACAAACAGGATATTGTTCGACAGAAAAGCAGCTGTCTCTGGCTCTCGCTAGCAGGGAAAAGAGGCCGAACCCCTCAGGTCTCGCTGTTTATATATCCTCTGCTGGCTCCTCCCTGCGGGCCGGCTCTCCACGTTTCAATGTCCGTTTGTTATGCATATCAGAGGATACAGACATTGTACATTCAATATATATCTAAACACGCCTTTTCTCCTCCTTAACTCTTTCATGACTTTTTATTTAACACATTCTAAACACTGTAATCAATACTTCAAAAATACAGGAAATACATCACAGCAGTTTGGTTTCCGGTCGTTCCGAATGTTGTCGCATGCTACCCACATCTGTAAACAATAACGTACTCAAATAAACTGTACCTTCATTTAATATTCAACAATAATAATATCTCGACTTCTATAGTTGTAGTGTTGAAATCAGTAGGTTTCGGTGTGCAACATCATATCATCTCGCTGCTAAATTCACCTCTATAGTAAATGGTATATTAGCCTCATGCTAAATGCTAACCGGTGATGACAGATTTTCAGAATAAAGCTTAACAACTGGTTGTGCACAAGGACTTCTGGTTTTTCAGTATAAAACAGCATTTAAACTGAAGGTATGTTTAAGGTACATTATGCTATCAAAACATTGATTTTAATTTCTAACAGAAGTCCCCGGAGCCTTCCGAGTAAATCGCCAGAAACGCCAACACCTTCTCATCTCCACTGCTCCCATGTTTTATTTTGTGTTGCCATAAGTTAGTCTCTCTGCGTTTGTGCGCTAGGCGAATGTTAATAATGCTAATGCGAGGATAATAAAATGGCGGCTCTACAAAACATTTCAGAGTTTTACGGGGCGTGGTTTGCAATTCACCCAGCCAATCAGAGCTGGGGCACTTTGTTCCCCAAGGAAAGTACCATCTCTCAGCAGGCACTAAAAATGGGGGTAAAGGTTCCCGGCACTAAGTACTCTTTTAGGTGTGAACGCGACATAAGGGGTACTAACGGAACTAAACGCGAAAAGTACGGGGAAAAGTACTCCGGTGTGAACGCGGCTTATGTTGCGGACTCTCTTTGTTTCAAATAATTGCCCATCGGAATGTGATAAAAGTCTCCCATGGGGGATGGGAGACTTTTGACTTTTGTCACATTCCGATGGACAATCGGAATTACATGCAGGGCAGCATTGCCGGTCTGAAAGGGTCTCTGGAAATATCAAACATTTAATTAAAGTTTTAAAAACAGTGACAGGTTAAAATCAGAGGTGGCATAAGTATTTCGATTATTTACCTAGGTAAAAATACGTGTTGGAAGTAAATGTCCTGCATTCAAAATTGTCAATTGCCCAAGTGAAAAGTATTAACATCTGAAAGTAAAATGAATCATGTTATTATTAGTATTAAATACATATAAGTATTTGTACAACTTATATTTAGAAATACTCTGTTGTAATTATTGATGCATCAATGTGTTCATCCATTCAATGTGGCATCTGCTATAATGGGGTTAATGTATGATATTACTTAATAATACAATACATTACTGTATAATGTATGAGTTGATTTACTTTGATCTACTGTACTGTGTACACACCGCAACAATATTACAACAAATATACTGCATATTAATGCAAACTATTGTAAAGGTAAAAGTATGAGCATAAAAAATAAAGAAGTGTAAACATTTACATTATTATTATGATTATTTAATATATAAAGACTGTATATTATTGAATTACAATTAAGATAATAAGATTAGATATACTTTATTTGATCTAAAATATTGATGTTTTCTCGTTATAGTAGCCTGTGAAAACCATAACAAATAAGTGATTAAATGCTACAGTATTCAGCAAACACAACTGCAGAGCTGCAAACAAACTAAGGTCTACAACACCTAGTTGTCTTTGTGTATTTGTGAATGAAGCGCCATCTCATGGTTAAATCCTGAAATTGAACAAATGGGGACATTTGGCAACGCCCTCTTAGGAAATAATGGGAGGGCTTTAATCTCCCAGCCACTGGGATCCGCTGGGTTTTTGGTTGGAATCCGCTGGGTGCAGTCCTATCTGGAGTGCTACATCTGTAATTAGCTTGTTACTGCTGTCCCAGGCATTGGTTTATATGCTTTTGCATGGAAGTAGAAGCCAAAGTTGTGATCACATTATATTATTTAAAGAAAGCTCAGCTTTCATGCCTAAAGTGACACACCAAACATGTTTGTAACTAACAAATGTTAAGATTGACACAGTTTACAGTAGTGTTAAGCTGTCCTACTGATCGGCAGGTAATGGCAGTAAGGCACAAAAACCAATTGGGCAAGACTACACTTGCAACAATGATGTTAGCTAAACAATACAGGAATGGGTATTCGTTCAGCATTATTATTATTATTCACAGGTTTTACAATAGCCTATGATTTGGTGAGAAACTCCTGATGTAAAACATATGTTTGTTGTCAACAAAATAGAAAACTGGGCACCTTCAAAGTTTTAACACCAAGGTTCAAGGTTGGTGTCCAGGGAATTATTGTCCTCACAAGTAACCAAATCATTTTTGTGTGATCCAGTGAAGGTTCAGAAGTCGGACCACCCCCACTCCTGGGACCCCTGTGTGAACTTTGGTCATACTTTAAACTCCAGTCTCTGCAACACAAGTGCTACCCTCAACAAGTCGTGGACTGCCTCGAATAATAACACCATCAACAGCCTCGACTACTGCAAGTGTAAGAACGCAGGCAAAGTTAATAAGCCAACATCCCCGTTTCTCAAATATATTATATAGTATATTTGGTACTGGTTTTATTTAACTTTAGCTACTTCTAGCTAAAGTTGTTTCTTATCTAAAGAAACCTACTTACATTATGCCAAATATTTTTGATTTAACAACCTTGCTTGCCAAGATGTTATATGGAAGAATACTGAAGTAACTGCTTTACATGATAATGGGCTGAAACCCTTGAAGTTGCCTCAACACATTTTCTATTTCAGAGAGGTTATAGCCTTTTTCTTTTTCAGCTCTAGTATCGGCCAGTTTCTCTCCCGGCTCTACGACAACATCCGGCCCCAGTAGCCAGAGCTCCAGCACCCTGCCAAGGCCTACAGTTCCCATGAGTCCACGTAACTCGCTGCTTAAACGACGGCAGAGAAAGAAAGAGCACAAAAGCTCCTGTGAGTCCTTTTGTCTCTGTCTTTACAATAATATCATTTTCTGAAGGGAAATTAATATAAAATATCACTGTTGTGTGTGTGTTCAGTGTCCCTGGCGTCCAGTTCAGTGGGTCCCGGTGGTCAGGTGGTTCATGTGGAGACCAGTGAGGTTGTCCTAACAGGCGACCCACTCAACGGCTTCGGTGTCCAGCTGCAGGGAGGAATATTTGCCACCGAAACGCTTTCTGCACCCCCACTCATCCGATTCATAGAGCCCGACAGCTCTGCAGAGAGGTGAGCACATGCGTTCATGCATGACTAAACAAATGTGTGTAGTCTGTGATGTACAGCCTTCCGGACACAAATATCTAAGTCAAGTTGTTCTGCCCTTACAGCGCGTATCCTTTTGCGTCACTAGACAGCTACGCATTTAAAGGTCCTCCAATAAAGGTCCAAGGTTTACTTTCTTGACTTTACTGTAGATGTATTTTACTTTCTAAAACTGTAACAATACAGAAATAAAACACATATAAGTATGCAGGCTTTACATAACATATAAGTAGTACTGTACAAACGACACACATACTACTATTAAAGGAATTAGCTATCATTAGCATCACTATTAGCTAGAAATAGCACAGATCACCATTAGCTAAATTAGCACACATTAAACTAGCTTCAGACCAAAAGGTACAAACTTCAAACATTCTGCACATAACACATCCAAATTGCACATTAATAACGCAAAGACAAATAGTCTCCAAGGCTCAAGCATCACAGACACGAACACAGTTTACATGACGTCTCTGCTCCATGTGTTGATCTCCGTGCTCCGTTTACAAAGGTCCTTGCAAAGCAGAGAGCGCTCACTCTGACACGCCCCGTGCAAACCAACACAACCAAGGAGCGCTCACTCACCCAACTCTATAAGCATAGAAATAGGCAGCACACAAGTTAATTTTAATGTCATAGTCCAACAGAGATTTGCAGGAATTAGTCCTTAACCTGGTAATAAGTGAGCATTTTTAGCATGTCCAGGTTGCCTTGTAAGAAAGTCATTGGTTTTTCGTTAAATTCTTGATTGCGGATGTTGTGGTTAATAACAGCTTATGAGATTTGTGTATTTTGTTCTGCAATATTAAATATGAAGTTACTCCACTGGTGAACATTCAGAGCTTTTACGTGTTTTAAAAAATGGCGGTTGTTAATAAGTGTCTAAATAAGACGACTAAACGTAATCACGCTGAACATTAGCCACCTTTAGCTTAGCGAAGGGGGCCGTGAAGTCATGTGACCCTGATGTGATTCCTTTATAGCCAGATGTTAGCTTTAGTTCAACTTGTATAAAGAGTTAATATGAGGAGACTATCCTGCTGAATAAAAAGTGTAAGCATCATAAACACGTGTGCAACAGATGTTGTTTTCTGCAATATTCTAAAATGTCATGGAAATATCCCATTACCTTGGGTTTTATGGTTGGGATAATACGTTTACACTATAACTTCACAAATGTATTACTTTATTATTACTCAATTTACAACAATTTGAAAGGTTTATAATAGATAAAGGTAAACATTATTGACACAGTAGCTTAAACATTGTTGATGTTGTTAGTGTTAATATGGTATCCAATATATTATATAAGGCTATTTCTTGACAGGTTCTCTACCCTGCAACATTGGCTGTATGTTACAATTAGGGCTGTCAGTCGATTAAAATATTTAATCTCGATTAATCGCATGATTGTCCATAGTTAATCGTGATTAATCGCAAATGTATCGCACACGTTTTTAACATATGAGTGGACAAATATGCTTTATGCAAATGTTTGTTTATTATCATTTGAACAATGACAAATATGCTCATGAATATTAAACACAACAACCTCTGAACATTAAAAATATTCGCCTCAATTCAACCTGGAACCTCTCTCATACAATACAATACAAAGTGTGTGTGTGTGTGTGTGTGTGTGTGTGTGTGTGTGTGTGTGTGTGTGTGTGTGTGTGTGTGTGTGTGTGTGTGGAGAGACACTGTGATGGATCGTTGGAGCTATGTGCAACTCAAGGCATATGCTCGAACGGGAGCTGCCTGGACGCTGCAATCATGTTGCGCGCACTATCCGTGCTGAGTGTGCTGACTTTTCATACAATGTCCCACTGTCTGGCTTCCTGCATAAAGTGAAGTGCTCGGCGCAGTTGTCCGCGAAATGTCGCTCCTCTGTTTTCATTGAAACAGCTCCTTATATCCGTTAGCGCAGCTAGCTAGCACCAGATGCTAACAACAACAATACACGTAAGGTGTGCACGTTCTCGCTCGCTCGCGCCACACATACACACACTCCCGGTCCTCCCGATGGCCAGTCGGTGCCTGCCGGTGAGCGTGGAAGTGTGGTTTGCCGCAAGCGGACGGCAGGAGCGTGGCTGTCAGCATCAGCTTGTAGATGGTATTTTAAACTCGATGCGCTCTGAAACTACGGGGCGGCCGAGGACAAAAAATACACATGCGTTAATCGCGTTAAAATAATTAGTGGCGTTAATTTTCTTTGCGTTAACGCGTTATTAACAGTAACAGTAAAATACTGACTTTAAATGCAGCATTGGAAGCTTAGCTTTCCTGTGTGTATGTCAATGTTAGAGTGTGTGTGTGTGTGTGTGTGTGTGTGTGTGTGCTGTTGGCAGTGCTCTGCTTGCCTTTGTGTCATGTGTAGGGATTTCTAAATATTGGCTTGCAAGTGTGTTTACAATACATTTTTGGTGACACTTTAATTCATCTGTTTGTGCTCATGACTTCATTGAACTCTCTATGTTTGGTTCCTCAATTATGCCCGCATTGCGTGTGTGTTTACTGATTGATGTTCCCGTTGTATTACCAGCTTCTCTAAGTGCGGGGTGTGTTTCTTCACCCTGAGAATGCACTCCCTCCATTAGTGCCCATGCTAACAACACTAATTAGTAAGCTTCGTTTCACCCACGCTGGAAGAATCAATAAGTCCCTTCCTTTCTGCCTGACAGGGTGAAGCCGCATAAAGCCCCTTCACACCCCCCTGAATTACGTTTAACCATAATTAATAGTCTTTAATACCACAAGTCTTTTCAGCGGTGACCAACAAGGGCAGCCATTTTGGATCATTTGCATTCTGATCCTCACCACCAAAGGTTTCTGTTTAAGCCAAAACTCCAGAAGACATTTGTGAGGAATCTGCAACTAATGGTGAGCATTGTGTAACACCATAATCACATGTTGCTCTTACTATAAAACTGCTGTCAATGCTATACAAAAAGTATGACTCAAAATGTAACAATAAGATAGGAGTTTTGGACTGGAAAGACAAAATATGTTTTTAATAGTATTTATTAAAAAAATCTCAAACTGAATATGTAATTTTGGTAACACTATATTACGGTGGCCCTGAAGTGCAAGTCAAAACAACATTTCACAAAACACTACAGCATTTCACAAAACACCACAACACAATGAATGAAAAACTTGGGTCGCAGCTGAGGTTCCTCAACAGTGCATTACAAGACATCTATCAATATGTGTGTATACCTCCACCATTAAACTGTCATATTCTGCACATTTCTTATACTATCTACATACATAAGAGTATAATTAATGTGTATAATATCAGTTAAAATAAGTGCTTCAACATAGTTAACATTGCAGGCAGGGGCGGACTGGCCATCGGGACGTTTGGGACGAATCCCGATGGGCCGGTACTGAAGTGGGCCGGTCGGACGATGTGGGCCGGCCGGTAACCGGCAGGGCTCGACATTAAGGCCCATTCCCAAACCGCCCCCTACACCCTACACCCTACCCCCTACCCCTACCCCTACACCCTACCCCTCCGTTTGCGCGTTCACGCGGAGGGTCCGCCATATTGAGGGCTGTTCCAAAGCAACGAGTGTGGGCTATCAAGCCCTCAAACAGCGAGTCTGCAGCGGTGCTGACTTGAGACCGGTCTCTACCTGACCGGAGTCACGCTGTGTGTGTCCGTCAGGAAACAAGTAGTTCCAGCAAACATCCACTGATAAATTGCGATGTTAACAACCTCATGATAACCTCATATGTAGAGTCATATGCCAGTCAAGAAATGACGCTTCGTGATTGGTCAGCACCCGACAGCGCAACATGTCCCGAAACATCAGCCGTTAGCTGTGAGCTCACAGCTCCTCATATCTGTTCAGAAACTGGACATGTGTTTAGACTGTCTATGTCATGGCGAATACAGTCGCTGCTTTATTTCTGTCTGTATGATGTTGTTGTGAGTTTGGATGGAGCAGCTACAGGTTATTTTAGCCTGATCGATCCGATCTCCATTCAGAAAACACGCATTTTAAAAGGTTTTCCGCCTGGTGTCGTGTCTGCACACTTGTCAGAAATTCATGGTTTTTACTAACCGGCATCATTTTGAAACATGTATTACAATTAAATCACGGTAAAATATGTTCATTTTGTTGTAGTTGGTATCTACCATATTTGCATGGATATAAGCCCCGCCCCCCTTAAAAAAAAAGGAACTCACCTTGTGGTAAACACGCAACAAAAAAATAATTTGAGCTCCATACTGTTTCAGAAATAATCCTTGATGTGGTTTAGAACATGATGGCGTTTTATCACAGCAGAATTTAAACTTTATCTCCGGTAGAATTCTGATCAGGCATTAGCTCCGCCTCCTCTTTTTTTTTTCAAGCTAAGGACCCAAAATCCTTGTTTCTCTAAACAGGGCTGGAATAGAGGGATATGAAGGATGTCTAAAATGCATGATCTGTTTGTATTTTGAGAAAAAAACATCATAGACATGTTTTTATTAATGCTGTCAAAATTATCGCGTTAACGGCGATAATTAAATTTTTTTATTAATTACGTTAAAATATTTAACGCATGTGTAGAATGGCCCGCCCCATACATCCCACCAGTGGCAGCGCCAGGGTATGGCTGGGGTAAGCTACACCCATACCAAGAAATGGCTTAGCCCCACCATGAAAAATGATGTTAAAGTAAGCAAAATAAAGTCCGCCAACTCGCGCCGAGAATTGCACAGACAGCAGTTAGTAAGATTGATTTCAGTAGCCACTTGTCTGGAAATACCGAAGACCAGAAACGGTTTTGAAAACTTTTGTCACGTAGTGATCGTCTTCTCAATAGAACATATTTGATAATGTCTTCTGGCCAATCAGAATCAAGATAACGGCGTGGTGTTGTTGCAGGAAGTCCCAACGGAGAATACTTTTGCTGTAGTACAGCATGTAGTACAGGGGTGCACATAACTGGTACGCAGGTTATGTGCG